TCTCTGTACTGCTGAATTGTGAAGCACATTGCTAAGAGGCCTGTGGTGTGAATGGCTTTTTGCTAGAAAATGCCATGCAGTTCTGCTGCAAAGAAAGGGTCTGGAGAGCTGTCAAGCTTGTCCTAGGAAGAACTTGAGGTTAGGAGCTAAACACACTCTTCAGAATGGTTCTGCAGTTTGAACTGCCATTTTCAATCAAACACTCTCCTGGCACCCTCTCTCACATACTAGTCAATGTAAGGGGGTAACATAAAGGGCAGTTAATTCTCAGAGAAGGCAGGTAGAGCTCTAATATTGCTATGATGATTTCCACTCTTGGAATGTTGTGAAACACAAGTCATTTCACAGTTTGCCTTTCTACACGGCTGAATTCTGCAGCACATGTCTAAGAGGCCTGTTCTGTGAATGGTTCTTTGGGATAGAAAATGCATGCAGTTCTGCTGCAAAGATAGGTCCTGGAAAGCTGTCAACTTTTTCCTATGAAGACTTTGAGGTTAGAAGGCAAACACACTTTTCAGAATGGTTCTGCACTTTGAACTGCAGTTTTCATTCAAATACTCTCCTAGCAGTAGTTCTCCCATACAAGTCAAAGGAAGGGCATGACATAAAGTGCAGTTACTTCTCAGAGAACCAGATAGAACTCAGTAGTCAGGCAATGAATTAGACTCTTGGAATGCTGTGAAACACAAGTCATTTCATAGTCTGTCTCTCTGCATTGCCAAATTCTGAAGCACATTGCTAATAGGCCTGTTCTGTGAATAGTTCTTGGGGTAGAAAATGCCATGCAGTTCTGCTGCAAAGAAAGGTCCTTGAGCACTGTCAAGTTTGTCCTAGGAAAAACTTGAGGTTAGAAGCTAAACACACTTTTGAGAATGGTTATGCAGTTTGAACTGCAGTTTTCATTCAAACATTCTCCTGGCACATGCTCTCACATACTAGTCAATGTAAGGGGATGACATAAACTGCAGTTTTCTCTCAGATAATGCAGCTAGTTCTCTAATATTAAGGCCATGATTTCCACTCTTGGAAGTTGTGAAACACAAGTCATTTGGGAGTGTGCATTTCTGCAATACCAAATTGTGAAGCACATTGGTGAGAGTCCTGTTCTGTGAATGGCTGTTTGGGCTACAAAATGCCATGTAGTACTGCTGCAAAGAAAGGGCCTGCAGAGCTGCCAACTTTTTCCTAGGAAGAACTAGAGGTTAGAAGGCAA